CAAGTCAACTAAACACAAACTAGTGTTTGCAACCACTAATTCAGCAATTAAACATGAAATTAGCCCAAATATCAAACACCCATAGTCAATCTAGCCCTAAAATACAAGACCCATCAATTACCCACACTAGGGTTGAGCCACAACCCTAGCTTATGGGTCTAGCTACTCATAATTAGAGAAGAAAACAAAGAACTAGATGAAGAAAAACTCATATTAATTAATTACTAAATGAAACAAGAAGATTCAATGTTGAAATGTAGCTAAAATTATTCAAAATAGCTAAAACTATGAAGTCACGAGCACAGCTCTGAAGAGAAAACTATCTGATGACTTAAAAATGGGAAAAAAGCTATTTATACTAAGCTGAAAAGTCTGGACAAAAATACCCTTACGGGGCTAGTGCGGACCGCACAAAATCACGTGCGGCCTCGCTAAAGCTCTAAGCTTGAGAATCCAGCTCTCTGAACTCGGGCAATGTGGACCGCACAAAATGGACTACCGCCGCGATGGCTTCTTGTGCGGTCCGCATGAAATGGAGTGCGGACCGTATTGACTTCAATCTCCAAAACTGGCACTCTCTGATCTTTGGTTATGCGGACCGCTCTAAATCAAGTGTGGCCGCAGTGACTTCAATGCGGATCGCATTAAATCTCATGTGGTCGCATTGCCTGTTGGTCTGGAAATCACCTTCTCTAAACCTCACTTGTGCGGACCGCACAGAATGGTGTGCGGCCGCATTGGGCCTGTTTTGCTTGAGCTTTGTCTTGTCTTGGTACTTGTGCAAGTTTCACAACTTTTTGAGCTGATCTTTGATATCTTGTCACTTTGTTGATCAAACCTACAATCAAGCACAACTTGTGAGCCTTTTGGGACTATTTTATACAAATTTCTAATCAAACATAAGCAAGAAGGAGTATAAAATGCATCAAAATCCCTAGTTATCAACTCCCCCAAGCTTAAGCTTTTGCTTAACCTCAAGCAACAAAATAAGACTCACCCCTTAAGGAAATTTCAGTTGTCCTAAAGTAACCTCATCTAGCATCAATTGAGACTAACAATTGCCCTCAATACAAATGAATCATTAACAACATTTACTCTTTGAAACACCATGGATTAAGTGTGGCACAAAAGCATCAAGAGTTGACTCAGCACATCAAAGAACTATTTCTATTACTTTGGCCATTGTGGAACCCAAACTTACACATCCTCAACTCTCCCTAAGCAAACCTCACCTTTAGAATAGTAGCACTCAGAACGAGGTTAATGGAAAATCACTCATCTCTCTTAAAGAAAAGTCACAAGTCCAAATCTAGGTATCATATGTTTGCCCCTTATGTGAGTCACCACTAATGTAAGCTTCATTCAACTCAAGATCATATAGGGCTTTTGCGGAGACATAGTGAAGGCTTTTGGTTCAGGGTAGGCAATGTATGGTCTAAGTAGGTTCCATCTTCCCTTAAGCACTTCTTTTGTTTCATTTTGGCACACATTCACTTGACTTTTTGAGTCTTTTCACTTCTTTCTAAGGGGTTAGAGATACACACTGTCACTCTTTATTATTCATTTCAAATCTTTTCTCCTTTTTCAACCTTCCACACCTTTCATTCTTTACTTTTCTTGAATCCCTTTTTATTCTCTTACATAGTGAACATTCTTTTTGTCTTTTTGCTTTTCTTCCTTTTTCATTGTCTTTCCTTTTCTTCATTTTGTGCCTTTTTACCACTTTGTTGAAATGCTCATCTCTCCCCCCAAACTTATACTTTTTCCATGTTCTAAGGAAAAGATCGGGTGCCAAGAGAGGGTATCTTATAGAACGGGTAAAGGCTTGTATCATGATTCTTTGAAGGAAAAAGGTCTAAGGCTCAAACGGGTTGACTAGGGATCTTATCATTGGTAGGTTATGGAAGTGTTCAAGCTATCATTTGGACCAAAGAGAGCTTATAATCATGTCTCAAGTCAAAATTCACTTAAGATTTCGCCACAACAAACATTCAGGGCAAGTTCTAGACCAATGGATCGGGACTTGGACTTGCAATGCAATTTCTCACCACACGCTATGGGATTGCTAAAGACACAGAGTCGGGGGCCCACAACGACCTTAGATAAGATTTGAGCACACAATGGTCCCGAAAAACCACTTGATTAATATAGGTCAACATAAGAATCTCAAAGTCGCGACTTTCACCATCCTAAATACAATAATTTATTTTTGACCATGAGATCAAAGGCAAATGTGCTAGGCCCAAGTGAAACTTTGCTTGAGGTATCCTTACCACTAACTACTAAAAAGAAAAAAGAAAAACGGACTCAAACCCTTAAGAAGGTTGTCACGCCATCCATCATACCCGATTCACACAAACTCCACCTTTGGAAAGAACCGTGGCATTAAGAAAACCAAAAGCTTATTGCAAATGTTTAGAACAAGAAGCTACGGACATAAATAAGAAGCTAAAAGAGAAAAATTGCGGCAAGTAAAATGAATATATACACGATGAGATTTAATCGAATATACAATAGATGTGATGATTATGTACAATGTAACATAACTTTATATATAGACCCAAAGTAAAAAAAAATAAAAGTACGAGAAATGTAACGAAATGTTAAAATTATATACAAAGATGAAAAATAAAGAAAGCATAAAAACTGTCAAATATATACAATAATCCAAATCCATAAAAGTAGGGCCTACCCCCTCAAATGAAAGCTGGCATTGCCCCCAATGCCAACTAAACCAAATAAGCACCAAAAAGAAAAAGGGGGAAATGATATAGAGACTCCCTATGGCCCGTCTGGCTGCATGGGCTCCTGAGTGGTCCCTGGGTCCTCAATATGCTCGGAAACCTCAGACTGGTTCCTTACGGCCTACTGCTTTACTGCTGGGACCTGGGCCTGGACTGTCTCCTGAGGTCATCATGTGGCTGACTGGAGGAGGTCTCCGGTGGGTCTGCCAACTGGATGACTGCATCGTCTGCTCGGGGAATCATCCTCTTCCTCTTGGGAGGCCTATGGGACTGCTCAGGTTGGGGATGAGCTGCTAGTACTGGGTCCTGTAGCAATAAGTCCAAAGGCAGATGATCTACCTTCATCTTGTCAACATCAACCCTCAGCGCCTTTACGGACTCCTTGGAAGCCCGTGTCTTCCTCAACTTCTTGTGCTCCTTAGCAACCTCCTTGAGGGCCGTGCCGTGTGAATCAATAGCATCTGTGAGCACTTTATGGGTGTTAAGGATTTTCTTCTAGTTGGCCAGAATCTACTTGAGGGCATCTTCGATAGACTGTGAGACCTGCGGAGGCGGAGGTGCCGATTGAGCTTCCACTGTAGTAGTGAGGATAAACAACTTGGATGAAACTATCTGCATCCAATTGTTGATGCTGAGAAGAGCCTGTCTCAGTCGGTGGGCAGTCACTGGATAGTCTCGGGAAGAGGGTATCTCGGGATCTGCTGAAGTGGATGGACCAGAAGGAATGTCGGTGGAGGTGGAGGCAGGCTGAGTAGGAGCCACTACCACAACTGGCTCTTCAGACTGGCCAATTGGGGTAGTAGTTGTTCCCTTGAAGTTCTTACTCTTTCGGTTGTCATCACCCTGTATAATGTACCATAAGAACGGGGCCTTCGCTTTTACCTTTATATCAAATGGCCTATTTTTAACTTTGAGGTCCCTAAAGTACATGGTCAAGAAGCTGGGGAAGGGGTATTTTCTATCACCCTTACTAACTACCTGCATAATAACCCGAGACATTACCTTCCCGACATTAATCGGGTACCCCGCCATGATCGATGCCACCAAAACTACCCGATGAAGAGGGAGGGAGTTGTCATGAGTAATGGGGTCCAATTTGCTGCACACAAATGTTTCTCATCCCTTGGCTTCGAAATTCAGACTTTTTCTCAAAATTTTCACTCTCACATTTAGACAATCGGGGGTGGTACTTGGGATTGCCAAATACTGTGCCAACCAGGGACGGACCTCCTCACCCAATTCCATCTTTACCATATACAATTCCTCATCCTCCTCATCAAAGTCGAGGTAATCATTTATTGTTTTTCCATCAAAAAGCACCTTTAGATTTCGCACCTTGGTCATTTTTGTGCCCTTTTTGATGTGGGCAACATTGGTATAGAATTCCTTGACCAGGTGCTCGTTTGCATCCTCACAGTTGTTCAAGAAATACTCCCAGCCAACTCTCTCCCTAAACTGCCTTCTCATATTGGGATTGTGAGGTAATAAGTCTCTATCAACAAAGCTCCTCTCCGAGATCAACTTCCTCACCGGCCACCATTCCCTAAATTTGTGATAAGCTACCTCACTCACAAAGCGGTCTTGCCACACCTCCGGGTTTTTAGTTCGTTCTACCCCGCCAACATGGGGCTCACCCCTTATCCTACTACCTCTTCTTCTCCTGCTGCACCCTCTCTGGATAATGAAGTTGTGGTAGAGGTGGAGTATTCATCCCCACTGCCTTCAGCAGAGCCCTCAGACGACCCAGAAGATATATTTACTGATGCTTGGGTGTCATACCTCCTTTTTACCTACACCCCATGAAGGGGTATATAAGGGAGTTTTTTCAAACTTAAAGTGACAATCGAAACGGGATTATTTCATTTAAAGATTCAAAGTCGTCACTTGGGAGATTTATGGTGTCCAAAGTCACCGGTTCAAATCCCGAATCGAGGAAAAGATTGACTCTGTATTACAGTCCGCGAATACAGAAATTCGGGTAAGGAATTCTGTTAACTCGGGAGAAGGTGTTAGGCATTCCCGAGTTCTGTAGTTCTAACACGGTCGCTCAACTGTTATAATTGGCTTAATTACTTTATTTTAGTACATGTTAAACCTATGTGCAAATTTTAACTTAAACGCTCTATTTAATTTTTAAGAATATTGCAACACTGTTAAAATACGTCTTGAACCACGTCACATAAATGCACCTGCGGTCTTCAACATATTTTGGCATTGTTGGGATTTGGATTTGGATCACATAAATGCGCACCCGAATTTAGGAAGGTAATTTAAATTACGCACCTAAAGCAACTACGATATTCATAATTAATTTATCCTACGATTTAGGACTAAATTTACATCCACGCTATTTAACTAGAAAGTAAAAGACGACGTAAAAAAAACGTACTCCAAACATAAAAATAAAATAAAAATAACAAATATAAAAAGAAATCTCCTTAAGCAACTCCTGAATGCGGTGGTCTGGGGTATCTGTCATGCTCAAACTCATGTAAGTGGATCCACACCTGTATGAGAAAACTTAAATTAAACATTATGTGAGACAATAACATTCCCTACTAGACACATGCAAGACATGATTGAGGCTATTTTTGCAAAATGACTTATTTGGCCAAAAAGTGATTAGAAGTGCAAAATTTGGCTTAAGATCCCTCAAAGCCAAGAACCTAAGATTTACTAGGAAGACCGGACGCTATGTGGGTTGCCTACGTATCACGCCCCGAAAGACAAGAATCATGTATGCGTAGTTCGGAAAGATTGGATACGGGCGAAAAATAAAAATAACAACTAATTTAGAGAAAATATGTTTTTTTTGTCTTTTCTTTCTCTTTTTTTTTGAAAAATGATGAAACATGTAAACTCTTCTTTTTATTTTATTTTTCCCCTTTTTTTTATTTTTGATTTTTGAAAAATGATGAAAATGTACAAAAACTTTTGAATTTTTCAAGCTTTTTTTTTCTTAACAAAATGTAACAGAAAACATAATTAGGCCCCACTCGCTTTATCTTCACACTTCACCCTCTCTTTTTCTTTTTTTTCATTCTTCTTTCTTTTTTCATTGTTTTTTTTTCATTCATCTATCCTCAGCTATCATTGATCCGCCAAATGACCCTTTTATCCTTGAATAAATGCAATATGTAGCACATAAGATGCATCAGGATGGTCTTTTATTTTTTGGGGTATACCTGTCCTAGACGGACCCAACCCCTATGTTGAGTCCCCTAAGTCAAAATGCACATGATGCAAACAAACGTTCCTACTAGAGATCCGGCATGAGGTATTGTTATACTAGGTTTTAAAAAACCTGGGTTTATTTGTTCTAGACCTGGCTTTCCAGAGCGGACAACTCGAGCCAAGGGGGGATGCGTACTGGTAACCAAAAGACCATCCGGCTTTGCAACTTGTCCGAACCTCGTTCTATTTGGGATATGACACTAACAGAAAGAAGTCACGACCAGCGTGCACTCCTCGGGAGAGGGAAGAGAGGGGTTTCGTAGCAGTTTATATATACAGTTTAGATAATATCAAAGCGGTAAAAAGCAACATTTAGCACATTAGGCTCAAACATGTAATAAAATCATATAGCAGATAAAACCAAATGTAACAATTCATCTAAGCTCGAATTCTTGAACCCTAAACCAGAGATTCTGGGTTCGATCCCCAGCAGAGTCGCTAGAGCTGTCACACCTCTTTTTTACCTACACCCCATGAAGGGGTATATAAGGGAGTTTTTTTCAACTTAAAGTGACAATCGAAACGGGATTATTTCATTTAAAGATTCAGAGTCGCCACTTGGGAGATTTATGGTGTCCCAAGTCACTGGTTCAAATCCCGAATCGAGGAAAAGATTGACTGTGTATCACAGTCCGCGAACACAGAAATCCGGGTAAGAAATTCTGTTAACCCGGGAAGGAGTTAGGCATTCCCAAGTTCCGTGGTTCTAGCACGGTCGCTCAACTGTTATAATTGGCTTAATTACTTGATTTTAGTACATGTTAAACCTATGTGCAAATTTTAACTTAAACGCTCTATTTAATTTTCAAGAATATTGCAACACTGTTAAAACACGTCTTGAACCACATCACATAAATGCACCCGCGGTCTTCGACATATTTTGACATTGTTGGGATTTGGATTTGGATCACATAAATGTGCACCCGAGTTTAGGAAGGTAATTTAAATAACGCACCTAAAGCAACTACGATATTCATAATTAATTTATCCTACGGTTTAGGACTAAATTTACATCCACGCTATTTAACTGAGTTAGAAAAAATTCCTACTTTCACAAAATTATACAACTAATACACCTAATTAGCTTATATCTAAAAACTCACGTGAAATGGGTTAACAAAGTTGTCTATCCATAAAATAATAGCCACCGTTAATTTCTTGATATTTTTTTTCATAACTAAGCACTAATCAACTCTTAAATTTAACTCCTAATGGTTTATTAACTTCCTTCCAACCGTGCCAATAATATCAATCTCCAGAACATATTTCTAAATTAGCCACAAACTTAAGTTGAATAAATTCCAACTCGCACATCATAGACTAACATAAAAGGATCTGAAAAGTATGTGATGGAGATGCAAATCAAGTAAATCAGGAATTGACTTATATGGACTTAGCAAGCATTATCCGGAAATTAGAACTCACACACAGCATCAATCAACAACATTCACAAAGGCATAAACAAGACATACATAATAGATTTCATAGCATTAATGTGTTGGGGAGTAATTACATGGCTGAGAGGAAGGCAGTACCTGAATTTTCAAGAAACAAATCCAACACGGCTAAATAAACTGAAGGAAACAGTAGTGTGGGAGTTCAGCCACCACCTTCGATTATCAACAAATTCAGCTCCAAAACAAATCTTAGAAAAACCAGTGACCGGAGACCTCAAATGTTAGAACCCCGGCAGAAAATCAAACCGGAAACCAACCAGACGATACCTTAACGCACGACTAAAACAGAGCCCCTCTAGACAACGACCATCGATGACCTAAAAGCTTGACGGAAAGCTCAAACTGAACCAGAAAGACACATTTAAATAGCTGATTTTTGAGCGTTGAAGACGCGAGATTTGGACCTAATTTATATTGGAGTTTCATGGTTCTGTTTTTGGATTGAATATCATCACTGTTGTGTTCTCTCAAATTTGTTTTCTTTGGTATTCCGTTTACTCAATTTGGAGCTTGCCGGGACTCTGAACGGCGAAGTAGAAATAGTGGTCGGACATGGGGCTTTAGTGAGCGGCTGCTTTTGGGGCGTGAAGAAGATGGTGGCAAAGCTGTGAGGTGGTGAAGAAGGGCTCCCTGATTGTATCTGTGTGTGTGCATTCAGAAATGTAGAAGAAGATGAAGAACGGAGAGTCGTTTGGTTTTGGTTAAGGAGCAGCCATGGAAGTTAAGGTCTCTTTGTGTTGCTGGTTTTTCAATTCGAGAAGAAGTAACAGAACGATGGGTCCTTCTATTCTCTCAAACGGCGCACCCTTTTTTCCTAGGTCCTAGAGTCCGATCCTTTTTGTTGTCTAGGGTCTTCCTTTTATAGGTTTAGGATTTTAGGGTTATTTTTGTGTATTTGTCAATTATTCTCTAGGTCCTTTTGTGTTAAGTTCTTAGGGTCTTTTTATTTATTTATTTTTGTCTCAAAGAATAGTCTAGAAGGGTCCCTAGACTACACAATGCCAAATTTAATCCTAATTAATTAAACTAAACATGAAACTATTTTTGTGTTTTCGAAATTATATAAAGATAAAAATAAGGTACTATTTTTGTATTTTTTTTAAAAAAGAAATTATGAAAAATACATAAACTAAAATATTTTTTGTAATTTCTATTTTTCTTGTAATAAAATAAAGTAAAAGAGTCAAAATGAGTTGAAATAGCTATATTAGGCCTTAATCAAATATTTACGTACTAAAATATAAAAAATCTTGGAGAGGGACAAAAATCACATGTCTACACTTAGGCAGCGGGGGAAGTGGGAGGAGTGTCTCTTTGTCTATTTCTCTCCGGCCAGTCAGGGATGTACTCTGGGATTGAGTCTTAAGATATCTCCCGGGAGGGCTCGTACTCACTCCCAAACATGTTAATTGCCCTATCAGCAGCTTTAATCATCTTCCTCATGTTTTTAATGTTTTGCCGGGCTTGAACAATCAATCTTACCATTTTCTATTTCCCTCCCCGGGAGGATTCTCCTCTGCCTGGTTGTTTAGAGCCATTGCCTCGTTGTTTCACCATTGTTTGCAAACAAGTTCAGGTATGCTTTGTTAGTATCAGTAGATTCAATTAAGTTCACAGTTGCAGAAGATAAAAGGTTGCAGACAGTTGCAGAAATCACATAGTGCGGACCACACAAAATGGAGTGCAGCCGCACAGAGGCCAATTCGGTCCGCACAAAATGTCAATGCGGTCCGCACAGAGGTGGGGTTCAGACTACCCACTCTCTGAACAATTGATTTTAACTACTTAAGTCCACATTAACCAAGAAAATAACTAACATAATCCTATAAAATTGAAAGAAATACGGGGAGAATAGGATGAGAAACAAGAAAGACAAATAGTAAAAGAAAAATAACAAAATTAAAGCAATTAAAAGGGAGTTGATTTTACCAGATGTGAGATGAACGGAAGGTAAATGAGTCCAAGTAGTTAATTATGAGCAAAAGGCAAGATGAGCAGTGCTTTTAAGAGTTCTAAGAGCAAAGGATCGAAAAGTGTAAAAGGAGGACCTCAGGCCCTATTTATAGAAAGGACCTGGGGCCCAGTCTTATCAACCCAATGCGGACCGCACAGAATGGACTGAAGTTTGCACCACATAGCTTGTTTCAAGTTTGAAAAGGCAACCCACTGCGGTCCGCACAAAACGTAATGCGGCCGCGGTGGCAAACTTCAGAGAGTTGGACATTTCATCCATCATCAGTGCGGTCCGCACTAAATGTAGTACGTCCGCATTGAAAACTTCAGAGACCTGACACTTTTTCCACTATGTTCTGCACTGTTCAACACAATCATGTAGCATCTCACAACCAGTTAGTCCAAAAATAAATCCTATACCACCATGAAAATCAAAGAAAAACACAAGGGTTGCCTCCCAAGAAGCACCTGAATTAACGTCGCGGCACGACGCAGGTTACCATCAAATCATTTGAGATGAAGATGTGCCACCACGTGGCTGTCATCAATTTTTCCCAAGTAGTGTTTGACCCTATGCCCATTCACTCTAAAACTTTCCCATTTTTGTTCTTTAAATCAAGAGCACCAAACGGGGTCACACACACCACTTCAAAAGGTCCACTCCATTTTGATTTAAGCTTTTTCGGAAATAGACGTATCTGAGAGTTGAACAAGAGAAACAAATCACCAACTTTGAACTCCTTGCTACGAGCATATTTATCATGAAGGTACTTCATCTTGTCCTTGTACAAGGACTAACTGGAGTAGGCATGGAATCGGAATTCATCAAGTTTATTAAGTTGCTCCACACGAAGATTGGCTGCAACATCCCATTCAAGATTTAGCTTCCTCAAAGCCCACATGGCCTTGTGCTCTAACTCAACCGGTAGATGGAAAGCTTTCCCAAACACCAACTGATACGGAGACATACCAATCGGAGTCTTGTAAGAAGTTCTATAAGCCCATAGAGCACCATCTAACTTCTTTGACCAATCGATCCTATTTGCGTTAACTGTCTTTGACAATATGCTTTTGATTTCCATGTTGGAGACTTCAACTTGACCACTTGCTTGAGGGTGATAGGGAGTAGAAACTTTGTGATTGACACCATACTTTAAAAGCAAAGTGTTATTGAAAAAAATGAGATCCCCCATCACTTATGATTGCACGAGGAGTACCAAACCTTGTAAAGATGCTCTTCTTGAGAAATGCAACAACACTCCGGGCCTTCTCATTGTTGGGTAAAGCCACGGCTTCAACCCACTTTGAAACATAGTCCACCGCCACAAGAATGTATGTGTTCCCACACGAGCTAACAAACGGGCCCATAAAGTCAATGCCCCATACATCAAAAATATCAACCTCAAGGATGGTATTGAGAGGCATCTCATCTTTCTTCGAAATTTCACCTGCTCTTTGACATTCATCACACCTCTTCACAATTTCACTTGCATCTTTGTACAAAGTTGGCCAATAAAACCCACAACTAAGAACTTTGGAGGTCGTCCTCGCCCCGCCATGATGGCCATCATAGGGAGAGGAATGACAAGCCTCCAAGATTCTCAATTGCTCTTCCTCCGGGACACACCTTCGGATCACACCATCCGTGCAAATCTTGAACAAGTATGGCTCATCCCAATAGAAATTCAAACTTTCCCGCTTGAGCTTCTTTCATTTGGTTAGAAGAGAGCTCACACGGGATTATACCAATCACAAGGAAATTAGCAACATCGTCAAACCATGGTATATCATTCATCAACACCGAAAGGAGTTGTTCGTCGGGAAATGAATCATTGGTCTCTAGGCCGTCACGAGGCCTCCCCTCCTCCTCCAAGTAGGACATGTGGTCCGCCACTCGGTTCTCACTACCCTTCCAGTCCACAATCTCCAAATCAAACTCTTGAAGTAACAATACCCATCGCATCAGTCTAGCTTTGGAATCCTTCTTCGTCATCAAGTATCGGAGTGCGGCATGGTCGGTATGAATAATAACCTTAGCACCCATAAGATAGAGTCGGAATTTTTCCATTGCGAACACAATAGCCAAAAGTTCTTTCTCGGTCACCGTGTAGTTCA